CGAGGGGTGTGTGCTGTACCCTGCACCCTCCCTCCCTCCCCTCGCCTCCTCCCCCTCTCCTTTCGTCCCCTCGCTTCCTCCCCTCCCTCCTCACACCCCATTCGTCCTCACGCCTCCCCACCATCCCTCCTCACCCCCCCCTCGCCCCCCACCATCCCTCCTCACCCCCCCTCGCCCCCCCCCCCTTCCACTTCCCCGCCCTCTTGTCGACCTTGAAGCCTCAGATCTAAAAGGTTACCTACTTCTTGTAAGATGTAAGAGGCTCACAGCACATCCGTCTTGGAACTCCAGATACATCGGCATGTCGCTCTTTATGGTTGCGTTAATTAACTCCCCAACGCATTTGTTATTATATCAGGTCTTGTTGTGGGGGTCGACAATACTTTAAGATGCAAGAGTGAGACTGATGAAGGAAAATTATTCATAATAATGTGACGTTCTCGAAATATATATATACATATCACATGCGCTTGCTCACAAACAAATATTCAAATCTATCTATCGAACTATCTGTATCCATCTGAATCTAATTGTCTCTTTATGTACTGTACTAATGTGGCAACACGTTCTATGAGTATAAACACAAGTGCAAGTACACAAATAACACACACACAAAATTACATATCACGCCCCTTTGATTGCTACTTTGCTTAGCAACCCTGTCCAAATTGTTACCTCTTAACCCCAGAAAAAGTAACACTTCTGTAACACAGGAAGACGAGAGAGAGAAAAAAAAACACATAACAAAGACAAGTCCTTCATTTTTTGCTTTCCTCCACATTTCGTATCTCGAAAACCATTCCTAATCCAACCAAAGATGGAGATAATGATCAACTTTCTCATCTGTAGAAAAAAAATGTGTTCACGTATTCTAAGCGGGCTATTAGGTCATTAACGAAGACAGGCTACTTCATCCATTAGCGCCTGAAGGTTGAGAAACACATGCACGCACACCCACACCCACCCCCTCCCCTCCCCCACCCCCTCCCCTCCCCCCATCCCTCCCCCCTCCCCTCCCCCTCCCCCTCCCCCTCCCCCTCCCCCAATACAGATACAAAAGCAACATAAGCAACAAGAACAACAACAGCAACAGCAACTTTTTCCCGCCTGCAGCTGCTTTGTTTACTTTTGAGGTAACACTAAATTAAGATTTTTTTCTGTTTATGTATCATTTATACATATGCATATATAATTTTGGCATAATCTTTGTAGTAGTACTTAATTAAGATGTCTTCTTTTATGTTTATTTATCTTTTATTAATATGTATAGCTTTTTGAGGTAACACTTAATGTAGATTTTTTTAATGTTAATCTATATTAAATAAATTTGTATACTTAATTCTGACATGGTCTTTTGAGGTAACACTGTTTATGTTTATGTTGATGTTTATGTACTTTTTATGTATATGTATATATACATTTGACAAGCACTTTCCTCATCTTAGAATGATATAGAAAAAAAATATAGAGATGTCTAAAATAGTAAATTAAAATAGTGATGAAAAATATGAAGCGTGAGATCTCAATAAGGGTCTTTCCTCTCATACGAAAATAATGAGCAAAAAACTGACAAAGGAAAGAAAAGAAAGTGCCCTACCTTCCATAGATAAAAAATGAGAGAAAGACAGGGAGACAAGAAAGACAAAAAAAAAAGTAAAAGAAAAAAAAAATACACCTTCCCTTAACACTTTCATTATGACGCCTTTGTGAAAGAAGAGGGGGGGGATGGGGCGGCAGGGGAAGGGAGAGAGGAGAAAGGGGAAGGGAGACAGGAGAAGGGAGAGGGAAGAGATAGGAAGGGAGAGGAGAATAGGAGCGGCAGGGGAAGGGAGAGAGGAGAAGGGGGAAGGGAAATAGGAGATGGGAGAGAAGAGAAAAGGGAAGGGAGAGGAGATGGGAGAAAGGAGCAGAGAGAAGGGGAATAGGAGGGGGAGGGAGAAGGGGGGCGGGAGGGGGAGGGTAAGTCAGCGTGTTATTTCGCTCCAGAAATCCTACGCGTCACTCGACAAGAAAGAGATTAAAACGGGAGAAGTGAGAGCGGGAGAAAAACCCGTAGTTGAGGCCCCGTGTTGTGGGTGAGGCTGAGCGGGACTGTAATGAGCGGGTGAGTGATTAAGATTGGTGGCCGTCTGAGAACGTGCTTGCGTGTGTGTGTATGTATTTGTGTGTGTGCATTTGTGTGTGTGTGTTTGTGTGCGTGTATTTGTGTGTGTGTGGTGTGTGTGTGTGTGTGTGTGTGTGTGTGTGTGTGTGTGTGTGTGTGTGTGTGTGTGTGTGTGTGTGTGTGTGTGTGTGTGTGTGTGTGTGTGTGTGTGTGTGTGTGTGTGTGTGTGTGTGTATGTGTGTGTGTATGTGTGTGTGAATTTGTGTGTGAATTTGTGTGTGAATTTGTGTGTGAATTTGTGTGTGAATTTGTGTGTGAATTTGTGTGTGCTTGTGTGCATGCATGCGTGTAAGCGTGTGTGCGCGAGCGCGGCGTTTCTGTGTGTGTTTTCTTGTCTTTGTCTATTATCCTTCCTGTGCGTGTATGTGAGTGAGTTTTCTAATATATATCTATATCTATCTGTTTACTTATCTATCTATCTTTAAATCTATCTATACCTATCTTTCTATCTACCTACTTATCTACCTGTCTATCTACCTATTCACCTACCTAACTATTCTAACTATTTATGTATGTATGTATCTACAAGCTAACTTTCTATCTATCTATCTATCAATGTGCGTGTACGTGTTTATACGACAAAATGTGAAGACTTCTGATAACAAGAAACAAATTGAAATCAGTCAATCCAAAATCAAAATTAGTGTTAGATAAGCTAAGCTTAGTTAAACCGAGCAGCAAACGCATCCAAATTAAAGCAATTTCCATAGTCATCCCTTTAAACGTTTTCTGTTGTACGTTTTCTATTGCAGTGAACTTAAGTTTAAGGGCTAACTTAGGAAATTGCGGCTCACTCATAACTATACCCATCTATCAGAAGAGAGAGATAAAGAGTGTCATTGATTGGATGGGAGGGAGAGAGGGATGGAAGGAAGGAGAAAAGGAAAGAGGGAGAGAGTGAGGGAGATAAACAGAGAGACAGAGACAGACAGACATATAGACAAACAGAGAGAGAGAGAGAGAGAGAGAGAGAGAGAGAGAGAGAGAGAGAGAGAGAGAGAGAGAGAGAGAGAGAGAGAGAGAGAGAGAGAGAGAGGGAGAGAGGGAGAGAGGGAGAGAGGGAGAGAGAGAGAGAGAGAGAGAGAGAGAGAGAGAGAGAGAGAGAGAGAGAGAGAGAGAGAGAGAGAGAGAGAGAGAGAGAGAGAGAGGGAGAGAGGGAGAGAGAGGGAGAGAGAGGGAGAGAGAGGGAGAGAGAGGGAGAGAGAGAAAGAGAGAAAGAGAGAAAGAGAGAAAGAGAGAAAGAGAGAAAGAGAGAAAGAGAGAAAGAGAGAAAGAGAGAAAGAGAGAAAGAGAGAAAGAGAGAAGAGAGAGAGAGAGAAAGAGAGAAAGAGAGAAAGAGAGAGAGAGAGAGAGAGAGAGAGAGAGAGAGAGAGAGAGAGAGAGAGAGAGAGAGAGAGAGAGAGAGAGAGAGAGAGAGAGAGAGATAGAGAGAGAGAGAGAGAGATAGGGGGGGGAGAGAGCGAGAGAGAGAGAGATAGAGAGAGAGAGAGAGAGCGAGAGAGCGAGAGAGAGAGAGAGAGAGAGAGAGAGAGAGAGAGAGAGAGAGAGAGAGAGAGAGAGAGAGAGAGAGAGAGAGATAGGGAGGGAGAGAGATAGGGAGAGAGAGAGAGAGAGAGAGAGAGAGAGAGAGAGAGAGAGAGAGAGAGAGAGAGAGAGAGAGAGAGAGAGAGAGAGAGAGAGAGAGAAAGAAAAAAAGAGAGAGAGAGAGAGAGAGAGAGAGAGAGAGAGAGAGAGAGAGAGAGAGAGAGAGAGAGAGAGAGAGAGAGAGAGAGAGAGAGAGAGAGAGAGAGAGGAGAGAGAGAGAGGAGAGAGAGGAGAGAGAGGAGAGAGAGGGAGAGAGAGGGAGAGAGAGGGAGAGAGAGGGAGAGAGAGGAGAGAGAGAGGGAGAGAGAGGGAGAGAGAGGGAGAGAGAGGGAGAGAGAGGGAGAGAGAGGAGAGAGAGAGAGAGAGAGAGAGAGAGAGAGAGAGAGAGAGAGAGAGAGAGAGAGAGAGAGAGAGGAGAGAGAGAGAGAGAGAGAGAGAGAGAGAGAGAGAGAGAGGAGAGAGAGAGAGAGAGAGAGAGAGAGAGAGAGAGAGAGAGAGAGAGAGAGAGAGAGAGAGAGAGAGAGAGAGAGAGAGAGAGAAAGAGAGAGAGAGAGAGCGAGAAAGAGACTGTGCATAACAGGCCGACGCAAGCTGATGAATAGCCATCTAATGCTGGCTTAATTACAGTTCACTTCCATGAAAAAGAAACTTGCCATCAAAGGCCAAGGGAGACTCGCCGCTTGCAGTAAGTCGGTATAATTACCCCTAATTAATAAGCTATTAACAAAGTCAGTTCTTGTGCAAGTTTGCATGATAATACCAATCACGATTTCATGTGCGTCTTGAAAGAAAATGTAGAATATTCATTATAAAGATATATCTGTCCTCTTTCTACCATTTCACGAAAAACCGGGTACATATTCAGTGACATAGTATATAAAAGTACTGACGATTATTAACAGGTGATGGCGATGATAAGCACTATAATGGCAACGTGAATAATGGCAACTATTACGGCAATTGTCACCAGTGCGGTACTACCGACCGGTGCAATAAGGACCACCACCACAATTCCTAAACGGCGTAAGGGGACACTCACCTGGTTCGTGACATCACCGCAGTGAGTAACCTCCTCCTCCTCCCTGCGATTCTCGGCCACCTGGTGCGAGTTGACGATGTGCTCCGTCTTCTCCGACACCACCACCGCCCCGGGCACCTGCACCCAGCCTTCGCCCGGAGGATCGTCGGCCCCGCCCTCTTGTCCCTCGGGGGTCACGTGCTGTGGGCGAAGTGGAGAAAGGGTTAGAAAAAA